TCTTTCAGTATCCTGTGTGGGGTTGGATTTGTCATCATGAAATTCTTTAGTTGTTTTTGTCATGGAAGTATTTCACTTTTCCATCAAACTTGAAAGAGAGTTTTGCAGGGTATAGTCGTATAGAGGACTTGAAGTACTCTGCTCCATGCTTTTCTTGCCTTCATGGTTTGTGAAGTGAAGTCGGCCATAATTCTGATGGGTTTTCCTTTGAATGTGATCTGCTTCTTTTCTCTAGTGGCTTTCAGTATATTATTCTTGAGCTGAAGTTCTATGATCTTGACTATTATATGTCTCGGTGTGCTTTTAATTGGGTTGAGGTTATTTGTGTTCTATATGCTTCATTTACCCGAATGTCAGATTGTTTCCTCATATTTGGGAAGTTTTCTCCTATTACTTCTGCCCATATTTTTTTAATGTCATTTGCATTGACTCCTTCTTTCTCATTGATACCTATTAGTCTTACATTGTTCATCTTTGCATCGTCTTGCAGGTGATGCATTATTATTATTCTTTCCTTCATCCTAGTTGTTTTTAAGAGATCTTTTCCTCCCTTTTCACTAACTGAACCAGTGTCTTCAAGATCTGAAACTCTGTCTTCACTTTCACTTAAACGGTTTGCAAGCTTGTGATTGAGATTTTACTTTCCTTTATATCTCTTTGACTCTGCTTCATGCGATCTATTTCTTTTCTGCATTGTTCTTTGAAGGAATCCATCATTTTTCTAATCTCTTCTATTTTTTTTATCAATGTCTTCTTTAGAAGCAGTTATTAATTCTTTTACTGCAGTGTTTTTTTCAGATTGGGTTTCCTCCCTGTGTTTCTGTAGTTGATGGTTTACTTCAGATGCTATGAGTTCAGAGAATTTTTTTTTCAGAAAAGAATTCCACTCTGAGTTCCTCTATAACTTTCTGCTGTTGCTTATTTACTTTTAATTCTATTAATTCATACATTTGAGCTGAGTTAGTGTCCTCTGCACTTCTTCTGGGTGAGCATTGGGTTTCTTCCGTATGTTTGTGCACTTTATTCTTTACCGCAGATGCTATTAATTCAGGGATTTCTTTTTTCATTTCCAATCTGAGTTCCTCTGTACCTTTCTGCTGTTGTTTCTTTATTTCACAAGTTGTTGGTTCATTTATTTCAGCTGTGTTTTTTCCAATTTGTTCTGTGTTAGTGTCCTCTGCACTTGTTATGGGTGGGCTTGGGGTCTGAGATTGCATTTTGCTCCTTCTTGTTGTCATTTTGTGTAGTACTGTCTTCCGACCTTTGTTATAGAGCTTTGGCGCAGTAATAACCTTCGCACCTACTGAAATTCAGGTGCAGATCTACAAAGTTTGGATTTATCCAGCTATGCCTGGCTTGTGTCTGGCTGCTGTGCTCAGCTTCTTCTTGCTGTTGCCCTTGGGAGTGATCCTGTTTGTCCCTCTGGCAAGATGTTCTTCTCCTGGACTAGCTGAGTGGCTTTGTCCCCTATTCTCTCTGCAGGGATTGCAGCTGAAGGATTTCACCTCAGTCCTGTATGCCAGGCCTGAGCTGAGTCTGGAGTGGATAACGTGGAGTAGGGGGAGAGGAAGCACTCCCACACACTTACCAGGCCTGGGTTAGGGCTGGATCTGGGGGTCCCCAGAACATGGCAGAAATTCTCACTTAGCAGGCAGGCTAGGGGTAGTGCTGTAGAGTGGGGTGGGGGGGTCCCAAGAGGGTGGAAGAGGGTCTCACCTACACTGCGCCTGGGCTGGGACTGGCAGGTTATCATTTTTGTTATTTTAAAAAATTCTCTAAAATATAAAAGTGATCTGTATAGTCCAGCAGAGGAGATGTGGATTCTACCACGTGTGACCTGTTTCTTTGGCTTACTTAGAAGAACATGGAAATGCTTACTGGCCTGAGAATGACCTCAGAAACTGCCCATACTTTGGATGTTCCAATATTTTGGAAATTCATCTTGTATTGTTCCTGATAACTTCCACTCCTAATTTGGTTTCTATCATTTACTATAGTTTTATCTGAGAGAAACAATTTCTGTTTCTCTAGACACGTGTGTCTAACTAGAGCAACCAGTAAGTCTCAAATAGCTTCATTTCCTAGATTTGTTCTGTTATTTGCCACAGTTATTAACCATTATATTATTGCTCTACCTTAAGACAATCCCAAATTGTCTTAAGGTAGAACAATGCCTTTACAAATAGAAAGATATTTTCCAACAAAGAGATAAAGATTGTGGTGAGTCTGGCAACTACAATTACACTGGAAACTGATTTTCACATGGACTTAAGATGCCTTGGAGCTTACACTGTGAACAAACTTCTCATATGCTTGAGCCTAGAATGAGGTGCTACAGAAGCCCAGAGTATGTGAGGTTAAGGGAATAAGAGCAGGACAAGAACCATCATGAAGGGCTTGGCTGAATGGTCAACACAGAAGCAAAATGCGCAGTGTGCCTGTGAAATGTGACTAGTGGACTATGAACACACATGACAGGAAGGAACAGCTGAAGGCAAAACAAGAGCTGAGTTGAAACCAGGCTGGCAAGGATCTTGAATGTCTTTCCACAGGAGCCAAGTGCACCTCCATAAAATAGGGATCATTGCCAATAAAGCCCAGAAAAGTCACAGTGAGGATCTAAACATTCCCTAAGTTCCTATGAAGGCAAAGAGTAAGTCTTATTCTTCATTGATCCTCAGTAATGGACCACATTAAATATTTACTACATTTATGAGTGAACAAATAAAACAACTAGAAATATAATTGCTATAGATTAGCAGTTAATATCTGAACCACTTTCTAGTGACTGCCTAGGTGATATATGCTTAAGATAACTCGTAGTCAACTGTATAATGTTCAGGTATAATGTGGCCTTAATTTTTCTCAGCTGATGCCTTTATAAAATTCATATTACTGAGCTCCTTGAGGCATTACTATGAAGGGGAGCCCCCTCAACCAACACCTGAAACCTTCTTCCAGGTGCTGAAGTGTGGCACATTAAGATGACCATGATCCGCTGCTCAGTTGACCCAAGCCCTGGACCCTGCCCAGTGGCCATCCCTGCTGAGCTCCCCTGGTTTCTTTCCCATTGAAATTGTGATACTATGCCAGTAAGTTAGGCTGAAAAATGAAACTGGCAACTTTCAGATGAGATAGAGCTCTGCAGAAAAGCGCAATCCAAAAGGACTATTTGAAACCAATAAGACCTTTAGGGACCAATAGGCACATTGTCTATAGCAAAGGGAAAACCGATTCTACTTTTTTTAACCAGCTGTTCTATTTCATCAAAACCAAATTCTGCAAGCCTCAATGTGAAAACAATCACCTTTTAGTGCTTGTCATCATTTGCCTTATTTCAATAATAGGGGGGAAGAGGAGATCTGGTTCCTCTTTTTTAGAAGCTTCAAGCATTTGAGAAACACACACAAATAAGATAACTAAAATATTATTTCATAAATCCTATGTGAAATGTTAGAATTGGTAGGGCTATAGATCACACGGCAAAGCCAATACTCTAAAGCTTGAGATCAGAGAAGCTTAGATCTAGAATGAAGTGAGAGGTCACCATAGACCAAAAGAAGAAACTCAGAGATGTCTTATACAGGAAAAATCCAGGTGTGCAGATGTGGGAGAGCACAGGGACACGATGAGTCTCCAGACAGGGCAGCAATCTCCAGGCAGGAAGAGGCAGGGAGGGTAAAAGGCTAGAGGCAAGGGCTAGATGATACAGGTAATACAGCTAAGACACTTAGCTTTTATCTCAGACAACAGGTTGCCAATTTGTACATCCAGAAGGGACAGTGGATCAGATGGGACCAAACTAGGTGAGAGGGTTGGATTGGAGGTTGTCCAAACAGAGATATTGGTAGTCTGAACTACGGTAGGCCTGTGAGGAGGAATAGAAGCAGGTAGAGTTGAGAAATTTAAGAGAGAATCTTGACAGGTCCTAGGTATTTACCTGCATGCAGAGAAATTATAATTTTCTTATACTGAATAGAGAACTTGGATTAGAAACTCAAAGACTTTAACGAATGTTAACATTTCAAATATTTTCTCATTATCCTTAATGTTTATCTGCAGGCATAGAAGTGTTTTAATCCCATGCCTTCCTAGTATCAAAGAGTATTTTCCGTGTATTCTGTCATTCAACAAGTATTTTCTGGACTTTTTCTATCTATTGGCCCCTGAGTGGGTAAAAGCCTTATGAGAATTTATGGAATAGTGGAGGAAACATACAATAAAAAACAAAAATAACAAAATACAAATGTGAGCAACAAATGATTTCAAAATACAAAATCCTAGATACAATGGATGATGTCATAGCTCTCCAGATAGAATAGTAAGAAAAGGCAAAGGTGGAGAAGGTAGGAAGAAAAGGGAAGGTGACATTGAAACTGAGGTCTACAGAATGCCAAGCAAAGCCACAGGAAGACATCTGGGGAGGAGCATTACAGGTGAAAAGGGACACTGGCAAAAGGTGCGAGAGAAGTAGGCATCTTACAGGAAACTAAGTGAGACCCATGTGGAGGCTGGAACCCCACAAATGAGGAAGATAGAATAGGGAGGTCACAAGACCTATTTAACAAGACTTTAGGGACCACAGAAGGAACTAAATTTGGATTTTGTGCAAAATGCCACGGAAAGCTGGTAAAAGAAAGCAATAGAATCATGTAGTCCAAAGCTGGCATGGTAGCACATGTCCATAGTCCCAGCACTCTCCACTATGTCCTTGACTGGTTCATTTCCCTTTATCCTTCAGGAGTGGGAAGGGAAGCCTCTCTCTGAGTTTCACCCCACCCACTCCACTCCACATTAGGCTACTCTCCTCTGTGCCCATAGCAACCGGAATGTGTTTCTTCAGCATGTACCTTTTTATACTTGATTTTTTTTGTGTGAAATGTTCTGTTTTGTGCCTAGACCGAGCTCCTAGAGGCAAGAGACCACATCCACGCTGCTGGCTGCTACATCCGCAATATCAAGCACATGATTAGGGAAAGGAGAAAAGCAAATGCGTTTACCTGTGGCTGGGTCCACAAAGTCTTTCATAGTACAGGAAATAAATTGGTCTGAGATTGCCTTCTGAATTTCTGCCATGGAAGCAGGGATTTTCCAAGGGAGGCAGCTTCTTGGTGTCATCACTGAATGCCCTTGGGGCAGTGTCCATTGAAATCCCTATCATTACAAACAAAGTTTTTGAGAGAATCCATACAGGTCCACTTAATGTGGTCAAGGAGGTAAGCACCTGAATACATGTTCTGTAGACTCCTTTGCACCTTGCTATGCCCCTGCAGTTGCCTGTGTGTTAGGGAAGTTTGTGGACAGAAGCTGCAACACAGCTTTGCCAAGCTGTAACACCGGTACTGAGTGCATTATTCAGTCTTTTTACACTGAGGATAAGAAAACGTGGTTGAAAACTACAAAGACTTGAGCTTCCAACCAGATTACTGCTATCTCAGGCTTTTCACATTTTCCAAGCTGCAGGGAGATGAGCTTCCCTTTGGAAGCCCCAGAGAAAAAGCCCTGACTGCCAGGTAGGTCTCGGCAACATCACAAAGTGCAGGCACTGTCTCTGCCTCACCACTGAGGAGACTCCAGGGTCATCCAACTTGCACCTTCCACCCCCTTCTCCATCTTCCCTCTCATGACATACTTCCCATCACCCTCAGAAATGGAAACCACCAAGAGACACACCACAGCCTCCTCAGCCCCTCCCAGCCACCACACCTTCACTTGCACCTGCTGTGACAAGACAGCAGCTCAGGTGCACCCTATCTGTTCACTTTAGTCTGCTCCAGATGTCACTCCAACAATTTCACTTCTCTTAAGACTTTAATTTTTCTCTCAGCTGAGCCATTGCCATCAACCAAGCAAGCTTGCCTCTATTTCTCCTATGTTATGGATCAAACCCTCTCTTCACAAGTTTCCTCTTCTTGTAACTGCAATGTTTCTTAGTTTCCCTTCACACTGAAAGCAGTATGTATTTTCACTGTCCCAAATTTCCCTTTCAAGTACCTTTTACTATTCAGGTTCTCCTTCAGTTCCCCTTTCCCCTTATAATTTACCTGCTAAAGCAACCAAAGGTGAATATAATGTGTCTGTTGAAGAAACCCTTTGATGTGTAGAGGTGCTCAATCTGGCTTTTGTTGATCGCATTCTCATTGGGCTACATAACATGTATCTGCTCACAGGACTCAGACTTGTGGCAGATCCCCTAGATAGACTGTAACTGTTGTTTGGCAAGACTGCAAGAGAGGGCCAGTGAGATAGCTCAGTGCTCTAAAGTGCCTGTTTAGGCAAGCTTAGACAATGTGCAGGGACTGCGGTTCAATCCCTAGCACCACATGCTGCATCAGCCCCGCCCCCTCCCCCAACTGCAGGAGGCAAAAGTACAATAATAATAACAATGTTATTACTATTGTTTCTCCCTTTGATGATAGCAGTTGCTGAGACTCAATGCCTAGTTTACTAGGGTCTGCAGTCTAGTGCAACACTCCTTGGATGAAAGCACAAAGGGCAGTATACCCCACCAGCTCTGACCAAGCAACTTCAATAGCTTATAGATGAAGGAAAACTCTATGCCTGTGAGTTACATACAAGGGGTGATTAAAATATACAGTGTGTGCCAAATAATGAAAAGTTTACTGGGGTAAAAGACATTGTCATTAATCTTCCTCCACATTCTCCCTCATGCTTCAAACACATTGATCTCATAGCTCTTATCACTTTCTAAGACAGCTCCAGAAATCTTCTTTTGTGTTGTTACAGGTGTGATAAAAACACGATGAAAGCTGCTGCTGCATCCCATCCAACAACAAGGCAGGGTTGTGAAAACCTGTTAGTGTATCCATGCCCACCTTATTCACCAAATCTGGTATCACACAACTTCTAGCTCTTCTCCAAAATTGAAAAGGAAAGATTTTGAATTGGTTCAGGTCTTCAAGGCAGCCGCAACTACTCAACTAAAGATATTCATGAAAGAAGAATCCAGAACTGCTTCAGGAAGTGGAAAGCTATGGCTTAGTGGGTTCAAAGCATGAGAGATATTTTGAGGGTGATGAATGGTAATGTGTCTTTTACTATAACACATTTAAAACATATAAATACCATATTTGTAGATTGCACTGTGCATATACACATATACAGTATAATGTTTTTGACATTAATTTTTAAGTTTTAAGGAAAACACTTAAGAGGCAAATTGATTCTAGTGAATGGGTACCCTGAGGAACCAGCAGGATGTATATGTTTGTGCTGATGATTTCTTTTTTAAAAAGATTTATTTATTCATTCATTCATTTGGTACAGGGTCTCATTAAGCATTTTGGACTCATACTGATCCTCTTATTTCAGCTCCCCAGTGCTGATTTCTAAGTCTACAGTTTTGGCTTCTGTCCTACATGAGCACCAGACCTGCATGCTCAATTGATTGGTGGACATATCACCAACCAACATGTCATCACCTGAACTCACATTCTTCTCTCTGCCCTTCGCTGCCAAACTCGGTCCTCTGCATGTTCCAGCAGGGTAAACAGTGTGGGCCTGTACCCAGCCATTCAACTTAGAAATGTGAATGCCGCTTTTCCCTCTTCATCTCTCTCACCTTTTGATTATCATATATCTTTCATTCTTCTACCTGGTCCTCTACTGAGTGCACTGAGGCGGCTCCATCTCAGGTGGCAGTCAAATAAATGAAACTATTTACCACAACCAACCACATACCGCCCTTTTTGGTCAAGGGATACACAGTGTCACAACACACAGAGAGTAATTAGTTTTTTTCAATTCAGCATACAAGAAAATGATTTCTTTTAAGCTGAACCTAAGGAAATACAGGGCAGATCCTTTGGTGGACAGGCAAAGGACACTGTAGAGAAAGTTAGCAGTGATAAAAGCCACAGAGATGTGAGAGAATACAAAATACCAAACACAAATGTCCTTCGTAGTAGCACTATTCACAATAGCCAAAAGGTGGACACAACCCAAACATCCGCCAACAAAATGTGAATGCACTGCCTTACACATATAGTATTATTTAATCATGAAAAGTACTGACACTTGTTACCTCTTAGGGAACCTCAGCAACATCATGTTAAGTAAAAAAAATAGCTCAACACGAAAGTTGCCTATTTGAATGATTTCCACATAGAAAACATCCAGAATAGGTAATCCATATAGAAAGCAGATTGGTGGTTGCCAGGGGCAGTGAGACAGGGGACTGGGGAATAGTGGTTTTCATGGTTATTGTGTTTCTTTCTGGGATGATTTAAAATATTTTGCAACAATATAGAGATGGTGGTTCCACAATATAATACACTCAATGGCAGTAAACCGATCACATTTAAAATGGTTCATTTTATACTATATGAATTTCACTTCAATTAAAACTCTTAAAAAACCGAGGTGATAGAAAAATGGGTAGAAAGAAATGGGAAGACATCCAGTGGGCAATAAGGGAAGAGAGACCCTGTATCCCACGGCAGCAGGAGATGCCAAGTTTTTGTGGCACACTCAAGTACATTATTGTTAATCCACTCTTGCTAGTAGTTGGTACAGTATTAAATTCTGCAGATATATAGATATCATCTTACTTGAGTGGGATGTAATTTGTGGCTCTTGATTCCTCTTGAAGCTTCATTTGTTATCAGATTTTCTCTAGAATACAATTTCCAAGCATATTCATCATTGTATTGGGTCTGATTCAGAATTGGATCACTAAGTGAGTATGTGTATCCTAATCTTTTGATACTTTTCTGGCTGAAAATAAAAACAAATTTGAGTGAGTGGTAAAGCTCACAATGATACATACATCAAAACATTTTATTTACTATATTTTTTAAAGGTTGGCTGGCTTAATACTTGATGCCAGATATAATTTAATATATAAATTCCCCTCATAAAGAATATTTTTGTAATTTAGGATGGCTCTAACTAAAAGCATGGGGCCCTAAAACAAAGTTTAGAAGAGTAACACTCAAAAATTCATTTTTTTAATTCCTTTAAAGAGTTGGATATTCTCATGCTTAGAGTATTTCAGCATAATTAGAAAGTTGTGAAGAGTCTTTTTTTCTCTTGTCACTATTCTTTTCTATTAGTACATGTTTGTGATACATAATTCCATTCATCTTGGAACTTTCTCTTTGTACACATATTTCAGTTGATAAAAAGAAGCAAAAATACTAATTAAGATATAAGTGATTTGCCTGCAGATCCTTTCTTTCTTTCCAGCAGTCTTCTCAGGACTCACCCTTCCATCTTATCATGGGGTTTTGACAAGGATGCTGGGAATCAGGAAATGAAAGTCAGGGGGCGCCCTACCGGAGTTAGTCCTTACTTACCCTTTTCTCTTGAGCCAGTTTCTCCCTAAATTGTTCAGTTGCCAAAACTGCACTTGAACTTGTAATCCTCCTGCTCTGCTTCCTCAGTAACTGGGATTACAGGTGTTTGCCACCATGGCCAGCTACCACAGGCTCTTCTTCTGGTTCATTGCCTTGGGACATACACCTCAAGGCCCAGTAAGAGTGCACAGGAAGGGAAACTTGGTCAGAATGAGTTCAGGGAAGCGCTGTCGCCCAAGTTCTGGGCACTCGCCCAGGACTGCTCCTTCTCCACGTCTGCATGTTTCCGCAGTGAGAGCTGGTAGCTGAGAGAAATGTCTGCCTTTCCATCTCCCAACAATTACCAAATGCTCATCTGTCCTTAGGAAGAGGCCTCTCGGAGGACAGCAGCAAATGTGGAGCGCTTAAAATGGCTATTTCTGTACATGCTTGCAGTTTTTAAAAAAATCTGTAGGCAATGTCATCAGCTGAATAGAAATGCGTGTCTGAGGAGGGGAAGTAGTGAAAGTTGTGATGAAGATTGCTTTAAATATAACTAGAATCTTTTCTGGGACACCACATTTTTCGAGATTACTGGGTAAAACTGGTAAGTAAAGATTTGTGGTTTTTTTTCAGATTTCATATTCATTATTAAATCATATGTTTTAATCCTGTTATGAAATATTTATTCCAATACAGCCAATCCTCATTGCCAACAAAATATTTGACAATAAAAAAGCATATGTGGCTTGCCAGATCAACTAAAAAAGGTCACTATACTCTATGCAACTCTCTTTCATTAAGTGAAGCTTGACTTGTCATCTCATGAAATTATCCCTGAGATTTATATGTGATTGTTGTTTATTTCCAAAAGTAAAGCATAAGAATTCTACTAACATGAAAAAAATCTAAGAAAAACTCATATTTTTATCATATTCACTTCACGGATAATTTATAACTCTCATTGCATTATTTTTTATATGTATTTACTCGGAGGGCTAGGGATTTAGAATGCTTGCTAAACAAGCTGAAAGCCCTCGGTTTGGACTGTAGCACCAAGAACAAGCCAAAAATAAAAACTAAAAAAACCCTCAACTATATATATATTTCATTGTATCAAACTTGAGTCTTTTTATATTTCCCTTCTCTATTTTTAATAATCTTCCATAACATAAATATTCCATTATCCATTTTTTCAGTACTTTCATAATATTGTTCAAAATATACATTAACATTTATTTGAACTGAAATTTTATTTCAGGTAAATTTTATTTGAACAGGAAATAAACTTAGTTGTGAGTTATGATCAAAATATACCATGAGTGTTTAAATGTAAAAACTAGATTGCACTAAACAACATTGTCATTAACCCCACTTCAAACACACTCCAAACACATGTATCCCACCATCTTCGCCACTTTCTGAAGTAGTTCTGAAAGCTCTCTTTAGTGAGAGTCTTTATGAGATGCAATAAAAATTACAGTGAATGTTGCTGCCTAGTGCCATCCACCAGAAAGCCAGACCAACAAACACACTATGAGTCCTCATTCATCTTATTCATGAGTTCTGGTACTGTATCATTTCTGTCTCTTCCCCAAAGTCAAAATGACCATAAAATATAAAGGTTTTTCACAGCTGAAGACAAGGACTTCCAGAACTGCTTCAGAAAACAGCAAGAACAATGGGCTAAGTGTGTTCAATGTACAGGGGAGTATTTTGAGGGCAACTGACAGCAATGTGTTGTTTACTATAATAAATTTTAGAAATTTTTAAACATTCATGGTAGTTTTTGTTCACACTGTGTATGCTCATTGGTTTGATGATAAGGACTGATTTTACCAAGTAGACAAGTGTATGAGCTCAGGTAAGGAAGCTGTATGAGCTCAGTCTTTAGTGCCAAGATTTTGACAGAAGTATGTTAAAAATATGATGGTAAGAGCCTCTTATGTAAAAATATTATATCAAAAAACATTTATTAAAATTAATGTTTCCACTTCCCAAATCCTTTTTGAGTATATAATATTAAAGACACCTCCAAGTGAAATAGTAATAGGTATAATTTAGTGTCATCTGTTATTTGTTAGATGTGCCTTTTTGATATATTTCTCAGAAGCTGAGGTAGGGAATCATTCAATAAATGGATGATAAATCACCTCATTTCTTGCTTTGAGTAAAATTGAAAGAGTACCCTACCAAGCTGTCAGTGGATTAGCCATTAAAAATTACCTTGTGATTTCTGTCATAAAATTCAGAGAGTTCAGAGTATCCAATGACATTGTTGCCCCAAAACTCCATTCACATCTCTGTGTCTATGTGTGCACACACGCATGCACAAACTTTCTTAGCACTTACAGATTAAGAAAAAAGCAAAAAAAAAAAAAACCTTATTAATAATAATAATGATGTTGCTCATGGTCTCTTTTTAAAAATAATACTCTAAACTGGATATATGAAGAACTCAAAACAAAACAGCTCCATTTTATCTCATTAAGATATAGTTCAAAACACTTTTTTAATAAGTATGAACATTTGTAATATATTTATTCCTTTGAGCAAGTGTGTGTTAAAAATAACAATGATAACTCAGAAACTGAAGTCATGTAACACATCTAAAAGTTTAACTAAAATACTCACAAAAAGCATAACAGAGTACTCAACAAATTGCTTTCAAATATAAAATATATGATATCCAGGGAAAATTCCATTGAGGAAGTAGAATGTGGAAGAAGTCAAGAAGAAAAAGTATCAAAGATCTTGTCTGAGTATTTTTTTAAAAAAGAATTACAATGAGTATAAACTTAATGAGGCATTGAGAGCCCTGATTGTTTATATAATTTTGATTTTTTTCTTTTAAAAAGTCAATATTTAGTTTGGGCTTACTGTTTTGTCTTTTGCAAGTATTTATTTATGAGAACTTTGAAAACATATGAATTTGAAGACCGCCATCTGAGACTTTCCACGCAGCTCTTCGTCCTTTGGCTTTCCTCCCTGATGTTTCTTTGCAGACGTCTAGTCATCAGTTCCTGTGAACCTGGCATTTTCACTGTAGTCAGGTGATAAATCTTTCAGTTAAGACACTATATAGGTCAGCAGACAACCAGGAACTCAGAAATCAGGACTCTTATAGTTGTGGAGTTTTGAAAGTCTATCTTATGTTACACTGGGGGTAAATGAATGACATTACTAAATAATTGCTTTGAGCTAATCACTGTACTAGCACTCTCCTCAGGAGATCTCCCCCCTACCACTGAAAGCAGGGATCATTCTCATTTCCACCAAGAATAAAACTCAACATTGCGGATGGTTGTTACTTGCCTAGTGGAGTAGAAATAGCCTCGGTTAGACAAGGACTTATCAATCAAGCATCTGCCTGCTCACTAACCTAAATTTCTAAGCAAAGATGATCTTTGTGGGAAGAAATGCACAGTAAACACAGGCCACAGGCTGTCCAGGCTGATGCTGTACCCACTAGTGAAACAGTGAAAGGGGCCAGGCTCCCCTGACCTCATACTGAACTCGGAAAAGCCAGAAATCTCCATTACCTTCAGCTCATGGAGAACTGGCGGGGCCACAAGCCAACACTGCTGTAACCACAGGGGTAGAGATAAAGGTCAGGGAATTGTGTTTTCTTCCAACCTACAAAACCAATGCTAGTGACCATAGTGCTAGCAAGTATACATCCATTCACTCATTTATTCAATAGTCACTGCCTGTGGCTACATATTAGGGTAGGAATTCAATTTACATATGATGTGGAGATAGCACAATCCTACTAATGTGCACACTAGGTCTATGGTAAACCACTATATGCAATAACTTTATGAAGAACCAACGTGGCGATCTTCTTGGTTTTCTTGGTGGTCTGGCTCTTGTTTGGTGGAGGAAGTCTCTTAATACTTGGAGTGTAATTGCATGTGCTGCAGTCCCTAACAGTGCATTTTAAAAGCCTTCCCCAGTTGCTCTATTTGATTTCCATTCTGAATAATAAAAGACAAGTGAACAAATTAAACTGAGTACACTAATGTGACTTCAAGAGGGAATTACCGAATTAAAGCTGGCACTTCTCCTGTTTTATGTGTGAATGCTGTCTTCATTGTGGTAGCATATGAATCCCAGTTGGTATCACCTGCTAAAAGGACAATAAAGCACTTTTAAATATACCAAACAAGAATATTTTAATCAACTGTTAAATTTAATTAAGCAATTAAAATAATTTTACAAAGAAAGAGACACGATTTTGGATAATAATTTTGCTTTAGAAGTTAAACAGCCATAAGGCCGAACTGTTACAGTTTAGATCTTAACTGTCCCTGAAAAGTCTCACATTCAATGGTAGGGCCTGGTTGGAAGGGGTGATTGGGGAGATGGCTTAGAAAGGTATATTCTCAGTCCTGGTCCCTCCTCTTCCTCTGTGCTTCCTGAGTGACAGCTTTCCTCTACTATGGTGTTTTGCTGTGTTTTGAAGTCAGCCAAGCACAGCTGAATTTGTGAGCCAAAACAAGGCTCTCCTCCTTCAAGTTTTGGGTGCCTGAGACATTGTCTCAGTGAAGAAAACATGACTAATACAGAAAATTGGTGTCAGGAGTGGGGTCATTGCTGTGACTACTGGACTATGTGGTTCACAAGCCGTTGGAACTGGTTTGTAGGGAAAATTTGAAGAAACAAGCTAGAGAGGCCCTAGCATGTTATAAACAGAGTTTAATGGGTGACTCTGGTTGAAGCTTAGAAGATCAAAGTGCTACTAGCAATGTAGACAGTGAAAACTAGGCTCAGGAGGTTTCAGTTAGGAACAAGGACTTCATTAGCATTTGGACTACAGGCCATGTATGTTATACTCTGCCAAAATTTTTTTCTACATTCTTCTTGTGCCTTGAGACCTTGAAGAAGACTGAGATTAAGAGCAGTGGCCCAATTAACCAGGTGGAGGAAATTTCAAGGCAGACCAATTGTCAGGCTGTGCCATACAAAACACTGTGTTTATCCAGATCTACAAGGAGAAGCAGGAGCAGACAGCAGAACTAAATGACTCAAGCAATTTTTAGGTTTCACAAGAAAGAAAGTTGGTACAAAAGAACATTTAAAAAACATGGTTGCTGAAAATACTAGCATTGAAAAGACTAGCATTGAAATGAAGCTAAGTACTTTGTACAGGGATGAGAAGAAAAATGCCTTGAGGACACCTCAGAAGTCATCAAAGCCTTACCCATTGTAGCCTCACAAGTCCATAACTGTATAGCTTTTGTCTGAAAAGATTGTTCCTGGGACACCTGCTATTCAGGGATGCCTAGGAAGTATGTCTCCAAGTTCAGGCATCCTGGGTATCAGAGACCACGGTAGTCACTTTCCAAGAGCCCCGCTCTTGCTCAAGCTGCCAGTTGACTTTTGCATCATTCACACAGAGCTGGTGTTTTAGGCATGCAGAATGTAAGAGATATGAGATCATGAGCTTCCCACCTAGATTTCAGAAGGGTGTCTAAGAGGTCATACAAAAAGCTGTAACAGGGTCATAGTTGCTGCCAGGAACCCAGGACAGGGGAATGTGTGGATTTATGAAAGTGAAGCCAAAGGTACACTAGAGACCACAGGAAGCTAGAAAAATGCTTGGAACATGGAATGTCTGCTGGGGAAAGGTGCAAGCAATAAACAGATCCAGACTAAAAAGAGGTCATGTGCGTTGTAAACAGCAAGGTCATAGTGGTGGAGCTACCTAAGCCCTCTAAAGCTCATTTCACCACAACCTTCCTTGATGGCTGGACATTGAACTACAAGATATAATCTTTGCTTGGATGAATTTTGATCTGGCTTTTGTCCCATTGCTTCCTATCCTGTTTCTCCTTTTCTTGGTGGGAATGTCTACGCTGTGTCATTGTATGTTGTGTTTCACTTTCTTTTTGACATTAGATGAGCTCATAGTTAAATTCCTTCTTGACTCTCAGAGGATTTGGCTTGGACTACTCAGCAATGCCATAATTAATAAGACTTTGGTGACTCTTAGAGACAGGATAAATTAATTTTGCATAATGAGCTGCACATGAGACTTTTGGAGGTCAGGGAAAGAATGCAATAATTTAGCTCTAAAATGTCTCCCAGAGTCTCATGTTTGGAGGGTCACTGGAGAGGGTCACTGGGGGGGTGACCCCACTTCCCACTTTTCTTTGCTTCCTGGCCACCATGCAGGAAATAGCTTTCTTCCACCATGTTGGAAGGGCTTTGTTATTTTTGTCTTAGAGTCAGCTGACTATGGACTGAATCAGCTAAAACTGTGAGCCAAAATTAACCTGCCCTCCACCTGTATCTTTTAAGTTGTAGGTGTTGGGTATTTTGTCCCTGAGACAGGCAAGTGACTAGTACACCAACTAAGGGCTTCACATAGGAAAGAAACTCCGTTCTCCAGGTTTGCCCAAAATAAAAGCAGGATTATTGTTTTTATTGAGTATTCAAATAAGCTATTCTTAAAAATTCCAGCCTTACACAAAAGACACAAAAGGCAGATTTGAAATTCCATCTTCAGATATCCACTATTACATTCTAATGACCAAATTGTACCACATTAGTGCATCGTCTCTGCTTCTTCCTCTCCTGCTGATATTCACTCTCCTTCTGTCTCCTCTATGCTAGCCCGTGTTAACAGTCTTGTCAGCTCTTTCCACTCTTGCATATATGAAGATGAAATCTACACATATTTATGTGTGCGTATATAAGTACATATACCTATTGGGGTTTAGTGCTCACCATTATATTTTACAAAAATAAGCTCATATGACACAAACTCTCCTGAATTTGTGAGCCAATTTGTATTTGTCACCAACCCTGTTCTTATGAAAAAGCCCTCCAACTCAGCTGGTATAGCACTAATTCATTCTTTGTAATGACTGCAAAATTCGGAAGCATCAACATCAGTGAGAGCTGAGAGTGGGCGATAACATTGAGGGAGGGAGGTGAGACAGAAGCAGTCACAGAGTTTCTGTTTCAACTCTTTCCCCACCCCTGGTGTCAACAAAGTACCACCAAGTTTCTTTTAAAATGCCACCATAATGCCTTTATCCATAGTGTTTCACTTTCCAAGGTCTCAGACACCTGTAGTCAACCATAGTCAAAAAATAGTAAGTGAAAAATTTCAGGCAATAAGTTTTAAACTCTAAACTATTCTGAGCAGCATGGTTCAAGCTCTTGCTGTCCGGCTCCTTTCTGCCTGGAACATGAATCATCCCTTCATCCAAGGTATCCAGGCTGCGTATACCACCCACCCAGTAGTCACATAGTCATCATCTTCCAGTGTCACAGGGCTTGTGTAGAGTCAGTACTATCCATGGTTCTAGGCAACCATTTGCATTCTTAGAACATGTCCTCTATGGAGTGAGGAAGGGGATACCTTTTTAAATTTAAAATTCAGTCCATTTTTCATTTTTCATATCTAGGCAGTTGCTGTTGCCTTTTACATTTCATAGGAACCTGGAATTAAATGTGTCTGTTTTAACTAAATGGGCTTGTCTGGGATGTATCATCTCACCTCTAGGACATGGTAGCTACCCTGTTACCTGAGTTTGCTCCCACCCAGGTATCCAATTAAAATTGCTGTGAAGTATCTTCTGCAATTTCCCAATATTTTTAAAAGTTAAATCTCCCTGTCTGGCACACAGTGGCACCCTGGTCATACACAATTTCTGTCATCTGTGAACTGATTTATACTCATTGCCTTGTCTCTGCCAGACAGACCTTGTTTATAATTTAACAGTCCCGCTACTCCTGGCAGGCAGCTGGATCTGCTCACCTGTGGCATTCTCCAGTATCTTCACATAAGCTCAAGTGCCATGTCCACCCTGGAGTGACCCCTACTGCAGAACTGGGGCCCCTTGTTAATCCCACTCTGCTCCCACTTGGCTGCCACAGCATCCTAGTGTCTCCTCTCAATGGCATTATCTTTTGAGATTTCTGCTTTGGTAGGGTCACTTTACACTTGAAAACCTTTTATTCCAATAGCAGATATCTTTGTGAAAAGAATTTCAAGTGTGGGAAAGTGGGAAGAAATTGAGGTATTGCTCTCATAAATAAACCTTCTTTAACCTCACTGAGACCTCTAGGTTAGACTTTTGAATTAAGAAGGATCTTCAATACAGAGTCCACACACCCATCTACTGTTTTTCCTAAGGCAAATAGCACTAATCTAGTTGAACTCAATTTCCTGCTAGACCCAGATGCACCTCAAAAACCCTGGAAAAACAGCTCTCTGAACAGCATTTTCCAATCAACCAAATGGACAAACATGGCACACCTTGGTGTACCTGGTTGGATCTTTCCTTTGACAAGGACAGGCTAGGGGTAGGCATCTGGCAGGACAAATTGCTAAACTCCTACTCTAGAGGTGGGCAGGGACAGAGGCAGTGTGTCTGGCTGCCTCCAGGCCCTATGGTCAAGCCAACTTCCCTCTTCCTGTTTTAGATCAGACAGTCCTTTCCACACCCTCATCCTAACCTGTGTGGGTATGACTTGGTTTCCAGGACATCTTCTCTTAATTTCACATTTAATCCTATTTTCTTCCTATAACCCTTAGTGTCGGATGCATATTTTCACAATTTTGAACTCCATTGACAAATCTGAAAATAAAGTATGTTATTGGAATCAATACTCTTCATTAACAGAAATGTCCCTTTAAAGATCCATAAACACAATATCGTGAAACTGTTTCCAGAGTGCATCTTTTGCATGTCTTTGCTTTCTTCTGCTTTTCTTCTTGTCAGGGAACATGTCAGTGCCTTTACTTCTAGTTCCATGCCCCTCTCCCTGATCCACCTTCCCGGTTGTTTCTTTTTGTTCTCAATCTTTGTTCCTTCTACAAACAAATCTTGAGCCCTTCCCATGGGCCAGGCCCATGTTCAGCATTTGATATGGAGTCCTGTCCTGCTGTTGAGGACATACCACCTGGAGGAGGAGCTGTGCAGCCTAAGGCACACATTTGAAGTTGTTCTGAGATCCTCTGCATCAGAGAGGCCCCGAGGAGTGTGCAAGTCCTTCTTCCTGGATGAGACGAGGACACAGCTAGAACAAGTGCAGGGTGGTTCCTGGGCTGCAATTTAATTTTGTAGGAGAAAAACATAGGAAATCATGGAGCAGAAAAACAGAGATCATCGAGTAGTGCTCTGTCCAGAGGAAGTAGCAGGGAATATGAGCTCTGAGAAGTGGGAAATGGCCCAGTGCAAATGAGGACAAGGAGAATTCTGTAAGGATATGTTTCTGGGGTCATGTGTGCCCTGCTACTTCTTCAAGCCTTATTTGCCAATCTTAGTGACCCACTGGAAGTATCCAGAGGATATAAGCACATTATAAAGCTTGGAAAATAGTAACTAATGCATCTATTGTACTTCACAATATACTTCCACACTTACTATTTCATTTTATTTTCAAAACAACCTGAGAGGTAAGGCAGGTTTTAGTGGCATTTAATAATTGTAACTTTACAATAACTTGAAGATTAAAGGGATTGGTGAGTCCACAGTATAGTATGCTGAATGATGCCCCCAAAATATATGTTCACATGCTAAACTCCCGAACCTATGAATCTGACTATTTGGAAAAGGAGGCTTTGCACGTGAAATTAAGGATTTCAAAATGAAGAGGTCATCCTGGATTACCCTCAGGGACCTCAATGACCAAACTGTGATTACAGATTTCCTGCTAAGAAGTGGGAGTATCTGGCAGGAACAAAAGAGTAAAGGCTATGTAACCTCAGAGGCAGAAGAGAAGGGGTGCAGCTGTAAGTCAAGAGTGTAAGGATCCCACCCCACAGCTGCTGGAGGGTGTGGCTCAGAGCACACCTCGTGTTAGGGCTTCCAGCTTCAGAACTGCCAGGAAATAAACTTACTATTTTAGGCCACCAGTTTTTGTCTGGTTTTATGCAGGAGCCATGCGAAACTAAAGCCCAGGCTACAATCAGTGTTCAGCAACAATGAGTTGTCATGGTCATCAACCACTATATTAGTTACTTTCCTATCCTTAGGACAAAATACCTGGCACAATTTATAGGAGGAGAGGTTTAGTTCAGCCAACAATTTCAGAGGGTTCAGTCCATGGTAAGCTGGCTGGCACCAGGGCAGAAATGGCAGGACAGAAGGGCAAATGGAGGGAAGCTGCTCAATCAATGGCAACCAGGAAGGAAAGAGAGAGAGAGAGAGAGATGGGAGGTGCCTGTATGTCACCAGGTGCCTGTGGTGACATGCTGCCTCTAACTGGGCCCCAACTCCTAATAACACATTTAGTTATGAACTCAATGCATTAATGGGTATATCACCCTCATTATCCAATCACCCTCCGAAAGTGCCATTCCTCAACACACGAGACTTTCATGGGAACATTTTACATTAAACTGTAACAGTGTGTTCATCCTATTTTGGAAATGACACCAGCCTCTCCATTACAGGGTAACTCCTAGCAGGAATAGTACAGACTGGCTATCAGAGACCCACAGCTGGAGAAGATGTGTCAAACAGAAAAAGGAGAGTTTAGCTGTCGAATCAGAGAAACCTGGTCATCAAGTTGTGATATCAAAGAAACTGCCTTCTCTCCTAATTTTAGCAGCTAGAATGCTCTCTCAAGGATTCTCAAAGTCTGAAAGGTCTGAGGAAGACAGAAGGTTAATCGCACATATTGAATTGAGGGCCCTCTTATGACCTCTAAATAAAACTGTCCGTAGGCAGTTGGATATTTTAATCTACAAATCCAGAAACAGAGAGTAAAGAGTCATTGGCACCATGGTGGGGCACCTGAAGCCTGGTGGAAGGGTATGGTCACTCACGGAGAGGATACAAACTCAGGAGGACATCCTGGAACACTCTGGCATTTCCGAGAGGAAAAGAAATGGGACACAGTGGAAGGAACCAAGGCCAGTGGTCAGAAAAAGAAGGGGAGGGAACAGGCATCCTCTCCGGAAATCCGGGGAGGGCTTCCTCCCTCTTCTCTCTGGCTCCTTGGACTTCATATAGAAACTAAGTATGTTTGATATTTTTGTACTAATTATTTTCATATTTCATTCTTAAGAAGGAATGACTTGAAATAAAAACACACCTCTCATTCATGCTTGTGGGAGAGCAATTCTAGAAAACCTGCCGCTGAATAATTCCTCACTGTTCTGCAGCCAACATGGAACCCAATTACCCAGCTAGACAGCAGCAAAGGGCCATTATTGCCAAGAGAAAGGGGGCAGAGGAGCTGACTACACAGTAATCCTGCCGCCAGCCTCACAGCTAGTGTGACACGCCCTCCACAGACACAAAGGGCTGTTAGTAAACCCGCACAGGTAAGCAGAGCCAGGCTCCAAAGCGCTCCTGGAGGTACTTACTGCATCTCTTCAAAAGAAAAAAAATCCACCCCCGCTGCAGTTGAAAGTGGAGGGCCCTGTCCCTGCTGCAGACAAGGAGACCCCTCCATTCTCAGGGCACCCCGACTTTCTTGGCCATTTCTCAGAACCTGTATGGGTACCTGGTGTCAAGTCTGTCTTATTCTTTGCCCAGCTTTGCCATCTCTGTTCCTTCCTTGCCTGTGAACCTGTTCTCCTTGGAAAGGTCCTAGGCGCTTCTTTTTCCTGTCTCCTCCCTGGAAGGCCTTTCCAGAGTCATTTAATGAAGTGGGGTAGGGGTGGTGGTGGGGTGGTGGAGGTGTTTTACCGACGGGGCTTGGCAACTAGCTTAAGGGCTGGAACCCGCAGATTCTCAAACACCTGGTCCTTCTCCGGACTCCGATCCCTTCCTCAACTGGTCTATCTGCAGAGGGAAGTGACACCTTCAAAGACGGAGACACCCTTCACTGGACCATACCCGCTCTCAAGAGAGACCCATTCCCCATTCCCCCCACCCCCCACCCCCCAGCCAGGCCAGGCTGGCTGTCTTACTCCGTTGAAACGTGCGATCACATTGAGAGAGGCAGGGAGCCTTGGGCCCAGCGTGGGCCTCCATCCTGCCTGGAAGAGGCAGAGGCAGCCAGGGTTCCTGCACTTGTTTGCCCAGCAGGCGGCCTCTTTGTGACGCGTCGCCATGGAGACGCCAGTCAGTTTCTCAGCTTCTCCGTAGCCAGCCTGCCAAACAGTTCTGGTGTCTTAACCAGAACTGCACCGGGACGGAATGGTGAAAGAAAATAGGTGTGTTATCTCATCATGCGGATACGCTGCTTTCATGTATTTTTTGTAGCTTTGCCGTGAGCTTTCCTGACCACTGTCTTCATATTAAGGAGGAGGAGCAAAATGAGGAAAGAACTGAACAAAAAAATATGCTAGACTTTGCACTGCAGTGTGTCATCCATTCCTAACTTATAGGTTAAGCAAATGCAGCAAAGCTTTCACGGATCTTTGTAGTAAATAAGAGCCAGATGAGATTACAAAAATCGCATGCGATCTGGTGTGAGGAGAATTCCAAGTGGAGTTTTTCTGATGCTTCTTATGGTAACAAATGGTGGGGGACGGGGGGGGGGGGAGGCAAGGAGGAGGGTGGCCTCCCTTAGGTACCAGTCAGCTTCACAGTCCTGCAAGAAGATACGACACGGGCTACTTATAGTGAGGCTTATTTTTGGTTCACAGTTTTGATTCAAAGTCCAAAGGTCTAGAACAGGCTTTGCAAGGGCTGCTGGGAAGACAAAGGCACCAGTGAGAAACACATTTGGGGCCAGAAAGCAGGGAGAGGAAAAGAGAAAGAGGGCAGGGGGAGAAGAAGAGAGAGAGAGGGAGAGAGGGAAAGAGAGAAAGAGAGACTCAGAGAGACAGAGACAGAGAGACAGAGACAGAGAGAGACAGAGAAACAGAGACAGAGACACAGACAGAGACAGAGACAGAGACAGAGACAGAGACAGAGACAGACAGAGAGTTTTTACAATCTCTCTGGAGGGCATCATGAGGACCCAAGACCCCACCAAGCCCTGCCTTCTAAGGCCTATAACATCTCCCAATAGATTCACCCTGGCAGACGTGCCTTTCACTCTCGGACATCACGGGTAGTTATCTATACTCAAACAAGAATTAGAAGAAGAGCCAGAAAGTGAAAGTGTCTTTAGAGATAGGAAGGAAATAGATGCTCATGTCCCAATTCTCCTTACCAGGCCATGTTCCTGGCACCAATCTCAGTGCCTTACAACTAGATGTTCTTCCAAACCCTTCCCTCACCATGGCTGTTATGGTTCATATGTAGATGTCCTCCCGCAGTGTAGATGCTCACAGGCAGGCCTTATGGAAGGTGACTGGATTGGCTTAGGTGAGCGCTAGAGCTTGCTTGGCTTGGGAAAGCAGAACATGGTGAAAAGACAGTCATCGAGGGCTTGACCTGGTGGGAAGTATCTCCCTTCCTCATCCCTCCCTGCACTCTCTGCTTCCTGGGAACTGAGATATGAGCAACTTTTCCTCTGCTATGTCCTTCCACCGTGCTGTCCTACCCTGGAGCCAGCACCCTTTGAGCAAAACAACCTTCTCCTTTTTAAATCTTCGGGTGACGAGTGCTGCGTCTCAGTGATAAGAAAATGACTAAGAGATAGCCTAGACCATGCCTGCTCCCCCATGTGTGTTACAGTTTTAGTGCACAAGGAGGGTGGTTCATCTTCATACTCTTGACAACTCCCAGGTAATTGAACAGAGTATGTGCTTTAGCAGCTAAGGGGTAGCTCCAGGTTAGAATACAGCTGTCACTACTACTGTGAGGAGATGTCAGAAAGCACACATTGGAGACTGCTGACATGTTTAAGCAGCAGTTTTCAGCACTTCCTTCTCCTAAAAGGGGCTATTGAAAGCAGTAGAATGAAGAGTGTATTAGGGGAGATGGAATAGGCATCAAAGTACATAGCCCACAGACATATGCAGGGAACATCTTCAAAAACCTGAGCGCTAACCTAGAATTTTCTGACAGTCAAGTCCCATCCACATGATCAAATGAATAAAACACATTTGAGATTCCCAAGTTTTAAGGCAATGAATGGTGGAATGAATAGAAGGCAGAGACTTCTGTCAATGTTATTAAAAAGAATGAGTCTAAATTAGGCTTTAGTAGTGACATCTAAATTAAGAAAGTAGCACCCAATAACAGATTAACTGTCTGGAAATGGTAGAGCTAATTAGCATAGCATAATTTAAAAGAAATATATTTTTGAAGTAGAACAGCAAGTATATAAAATTTCAAAAATGAATTCTTATTAAGAGTTTACATTTATCTCCTGGTAGGCAAGCTGAGAAGCCTTGAATGGAATGAAAGCCAGATCTCTTTGTCACTTTCCCCCTGGGGGCCCTCAGGGTTAAAAGCAGAGTCTTCTCTGAGCCTCCTGTTTTCTTAGCTGTAAGATGAGCACACTCGTACCCACCTCACTGAGCTGGAAAGATGATAATCCTAACAGTAGTTTATCAATGGTGAACCACACACGTCTACCACTCTTTTGTCTAAGTGCTGCTGTGATCTTCATCTTTTTATATGTCTCCCATCCCTGTTTCAGAAATGTTTTGATGGGGACAGTCTATGTCATTGTGGGCAGCAGAGTACAATTTCTATCTTTGGATTTGGGTTGCCAGCAACAACTACTTTAAGTGATTAAGTAAATTTTTCATTTACTTCTTTCCCTCAACAAACAACTAGCTGTGCATTGGAACTGAGCTGTGGGATGGCAGTAAACGCAATGCCTTGGAGGTGAGAGGAACCCAGTGCAGCTTCTTAGAAGAAGAGACCTCAGGGGTGAATCAGTCACCTGGGTGAAGAACGCAAGGTGACAAGAGGCAGAGCGAGGGCTCATGAAATATGAACAGCCCATAGATCCTGAGACGTGAGCCTTTGCTGTTGCTGTGTGCATGTGGTGGTGTTGGGGGGAGCAGGGTAGCTGCAGGGGAGGCCAGAAGGCTGGAGGGCTGGGCTCCCACCCGAGCACCAGAGCATTTGCCAAGTGGGTCACAGCACTGGAAGGAAGGGGCCAGCTCAAAAGTTTAAGTAACTCTTAACTCTGTTCCAGAAGGAAGAAAAGTCAAATTCTGTATTACCCTCAATGAATCCCACAAAAATAAAAACTTCTAAGTTACTAATATGTGTTTTAACAATGTTTTGAATTGGCTCAAAATAATTGAGACTAGCATTTTGAATGAGTTAAAATGAACTGTTTCCAATTCAAATTATTATAATAAATGTCTTTCTGTACACGCGTGTGCACACACCTACACACACACACACACACACACACACACACACATGCACGCACACAGAGTAATGGGATGGGTGATACTCTTAGGTGCTGGGGTAAGGAGACAGCAAGTATGGGACACTCAAATATTGTCTTATAAAAATAATGCCTCCATCCATCCCCAGGGACACAGAGAGGAACAGGGAAAGAAAGTCATACCTAAATGAAAATAAGAGAAGTGAACCATGTGCATAGGCAAATGTGGGAAATAGAGAAGGAGAGCTTTAGGGTACAGGAAAGAGCAAAGAGACCCTAGGCTGGAGAAGCCCAATGTACTAGAAAGATGCCTCCCAGTCTGAAGGAGACTCCTGCCCCTGGCACCTGTGAGAACACAGATTCAGATTCACTACTACAGGTGGCATTTTGTCTTAGTTACTTTTTTCTTTGCTAAGACAAAATACTCCAAACCTGGGCTGGCCAAATAGCCCAGTGGACTAAAGCACCTGAAAGCAGGCATAGGGGCTAGGGGTTTGATATCCAGGCCTGCTGTGCTGGCCCCACCCCCGGGTGCTCTGAGACAGCAGTTGAGACTGGGCTTGGTGGTGAATGCCTATAATCCCAGCTCTTGGGACACTGTAAACAGGTGGATCACTGTGAGTCTGATCTAGTACTGAGACCCTGAATACCCAACCCTTCCATAAAATAAAAAAAAAATTTAAAAAAAGAAAAGAAAGAAAGAAAAAAGAAAAAATACTCTAAACCCATAAATTAAAAGAGGATAGATTTGTAGATACAGGTGAAGAGGTGGCACTGGAATGCCTTAAACTACTTGACATCTTCTTGTCAAAAGACCAGAATGTCGAGGAAAATGCTACTGATAAAGACCAGGGTTAGAAAGTTTTTGCTGGGAAGGACTACATTGCTACTAGATGCCAGATGATGTGTTTATGGTTTGGCAAAAAGTTTGTCTGGATTTTTCTTTTGGAGACTTTGAGAATGAGATTAAGGGCAAGGGATTAATTGATTCTAAAGAAATTTCAAGATGGTCTACTGTTGAGCTGGTAGCATGGTTACTGATGTGAGCTTTTAGGCAGATCTATGTTGAAAATCAACAGCCAAGAGCCCAGTAGAATGATTTAAAATGTAAGTTTGGACATAAAGGAAGTTCCAGTAAAGCTGGCCTGCAAAGAGAGAGCAGAGGAGAACATGGTTGTTGAGAAGAAACAGAGCAATGGAAAAATGGCCTGAGAACATCACAAGAAAAGCAGACTTTCACCCTTTGCAGTCTCCAGGTTGTAAGGGTGAAAGAATTTGCTGTGAGAAGAGTACCCCAGAACATCATGTTCCAGAATGGCAGCAGCCTAGAAAATTTGTTCCTCAGAACTGGGTTCAGAGTACTCAGCCATGCAGGCACATCCAGGCCAAGGAAGAAGGAAGTCTGGTTCCAGTAGACAGCAGACCTTGGTGTTACCCACACGCTGCTAGTTTTAAGTGCATACAGAATGGAAGTGTTGGGGGTTTAGAAAGGTTGCCACCCAGATTTCAGAAGGCCCCAGGCAGTGTACAAACCCGAGAGGGCAGTGCATGAAGTTGTGGAAAAGCCTGGAACGTGCATCAGGAAAACTGCAAGGAGGGAGCAGAGAAAGCCCAAAAGAGAAGCCATGGGAGCTACAATGACCAGAAGGGCTATAGGGACAAAGTAACCCAAGCCCTGTGGAGTTCATAAATTGTCACAGACTGCCTCAGGTGCTGCACACAGAACTATGGGACTTAATGTTTTCCCTGCTGGATTTTGGACTTGTTTTGACCCTATTCCTTTGTATGACCCCCATTTGTACCTTTTGGAATGA